GGACAGCAATGGGCTTCAACAACTCACCTCTTTAACTTCACTTTCTATCATATGGTGTCGTAACTTGCAGACAATTACAGAAAAAGGGCTTCCGTCCTCTCTTCAAAACTTTGAGTTGTCTGTCTGTCCTTTGCTGGAGAAAAAGTGCGAGAGGGAGAAAGGGGAGTATTGGAACAAGATTGCTCACATCCCCACCATTACCATCAATATAAGGCGTATATAAATTAACGAGAACCAGATACTAGGTAGCTCTTCATTATTTTACCTTTTTTTTTTTTTCTTTTATTTGCTATCTTTCTTCTTTCTTTTTCCAGTGAGAATGTGATTCGTACTGCACCTTCACTCTGTAGTTTGCCTAAACAATTTTCGGTCATGAAACATGCTCAAATAGTTTTTCAGGTTTTGTTAACCAATTCATGTAGTTAATATCCATTTTATTAATATTATCTTAATGGCTATGAATATTTTTCTTTTTTTTTTAGCTACCTTCTGCGTTCAAATAATGTGTCCTTTTAATGCAGGGGAGTTATGAACGTGGCTTTCTTTGATAGTAGCAGAAACAAGTATGCCTGCCATATGTGTGTATGCGTAAGATCATGCAAGTGAGTTTTTTGAAGTCAATTCTAACACTGTTTCACAGTTCGGCTGAAGCATGCTTTACACATTTAAATAGTCAATAACCGAATCGTTTGTAATGCAGGCCCGGCTTTGACAAAAACATCATGTTCTGATCAGGGGTGTAAGCCTCTGCAGTCTTGGATAGACCATTTTCCATATTGGTCATTGATTTGACAAGAGTAAACGGCTCCATGTTCCTCAAGAATAGCTTTCAAATCTTTTGTTACAAAGGTGGCACAAAATGATTGGTGAAGTGCCGAGTCAGCAAAGACGAGCCAATAGGAAAATGACAGAAAGTCAGTTATTGTTGGTTGAGGGTCAAATATTGGACTTGTTGCCATGGCTAAAAGAAAGTATAATTTGCAATACATTTAGGATTTGGGGATGAACAATCACTTATGTGACATCTTAGTCTTGGTTTTCTTGGCAATAAGTTTTGGAAATTTGAGAAAGAACTCAAGAACTAATTTCAGGGCGTGCTGAATTTTTTATGATATGTGATATTCATTAATGTGGCTTCGAATCCGAAGACGTAAGAGTTTTTGCTTCGAACCTTGTTAAATCTTTACGCATTAATTGATATCATTTTATTATTTTGAGTTTTGATAGCCAAAGTTTATAACATGTTTAATATATCCTAGTTGTATGTCCCCAACTTCAAATTTGAAAAATATCATGTACTGAAAAATGACATTAAAAAAAAAAGTACCAAAATTTATATTTGAAAAGATAAAAAGAAAATTTCTCGAGAAGGTACTAAAAAATAAACTACTGAAAAAAAATTTAAGTGCGTTTAGAACTCGTTCTAAAATGATTTTATTTTTTGTATGAAAATGGAAATGAAAATGTTTTCAATCTCAGACAGAAATTATTTTTGAAAATGCGTTTAGTAGTTTTATCAAGAGATTATTTTCAGTATAAAAAAATCCATTAATGTCTCTCTCTCTACTCAATAGAGGAGAAAATGGAAACAAAAAATGAAAAATGATTAAAAGTCATTTATCATTTCTCTCTCATTTTACACTAAACTAAAAAATTATTTTTATTTCTATTTTTTATCTTTAAGTGTGCCAAATGTCATTTCTTTTCCGCTTTCTTTTTTTTCTCAAAAAACGTGAAAAATGAAAACAAAATCAACTCCAAAAATTATATGTTCTCCATATTGTTTTTTAGCCCACGATTAAAAACTGATTCCAAGAGATCCTAGCAGAGAAATACCTAAATAAAAACAGAAAAATTGTGGGATTGTAGATTCCTTAAACACGTTGGACGCGTTGATTTTATTAACATTAAATAGTGTACCACGAGGCACTCTGGGACAAAATTTCACTTACCTTCTTTTTGGTTTCTTTCCACCTATATGCTGGATATATAGGATGGGCCACCTATATATGCTACTTTTATTTCAACCAACCACGCAATTTTAGGTGTCGTTCACTTTATGGATTCGAGTTTTTAATTTGAGCTGAGATATGACATATTCTGAGAGCATTTTACTGTAGCAAAAAAAGTTAGATGTGACATTTTCTGAGAGCTTTTTACTGTAGAAACCTAAAATTGAAAACTCAAATTGATGAAATGAACAAGGCCTTAATTTCTTGATCATGTCTTTGCTTGTTCTCGTTCACTTTATGGATTTGAATTTTTAATTTGAGTTGAGATATGACATATTCTGAGAGCTTTTTACTGTAGCAAAAAAAGTTAGATGTGACATTTTCTGAGAGCTTTTTACTGTAGAAACCTAAAATTGAAAACTCAAATTGATGAAATGAACAAGGCCTTAATTTCTTGATCATGTCTTTGCTTGTTGTTCCCTTGGAAGTTTTGGATGAAAGTGAAATAACACCATGAACTATTCGAATATTGATTTTGTTGAGGGTTGGCTGATAATTCATTAATAGCCTCAAGTGACTGTAATATAACGTCAATCAACAAAATATTGACTGTGTTTAGAAATGATTCTGTTTTTATTTTCACATTTTTCGAGAAAGAAAAAATGAAAACGTTTCTAAAACGGTGTTTAGCGCAATAAAGATGAAAAATGGAAATGAAAACGATTTTTTAGTTTAGTGTAAAATAAGAGAGAAATGAAAAATGACTTTCAGTCGTTTTTCATTTTTTGTTTTCATTTTCTCATTTCTCGAGTAGAGAGAAAGAGAGAGACATTAATGAATTTTTTATGCTGAAAATAATCTCTTGATAAAACTACTAAATGCATTTTTAAAAATAATTTCTGTCTGAGATTAAAAATGTTTTTATTTTTATTTTCATATAAAAAATAAAATTATTTTGGAACGAGTTCTAACGTACCCATTATTACTCAACCATTACTAAATTGAGATGTTTTAAAGATATCCATGAATCATGACTATTACACATTCCCATATATATGCTCTATTTGTTTGCAATTACAACACTTCTTATGGTTGAAGTTAAAATGCTTTTGTCAAATATTTCTTCCTCATGCTTGACAAACTGCTCTAGTACTGTTGCATGACTAGTTATGATTAGAGGCTTAGCCAAACAACAAGTCTAGAATACACAACACAAAAGAGAAAATCGCTGAACTTACCTTAAGAATACATGAGTCTGGATTTTTATCCTTTATTCTTGATTAATACTCTTTTGACTAATATAATTATTGGATTAAAAATGATATTAATCAATAATAAATGGTAAAAATCTAAACTCATGCCCTCAAAATGGTATTTGTCTCTTTTTCCCGTAGCAAAAAGAGAGATAGGGTGCAAGGATTAGCTGTTGATAAGAGGAAGTGGAGGAGTGAATAGATTGAGTGAGGGATTCAAATGGCGTGTTTGGAACTCGTTCCAAAATGATTTTATTTTTCGTATGAAAATGAAAATAAAAACATTTTCAATCTCAAGCAGAAATCATTTTTGAAAATGTGTTTGGTAGTTTTATTAAGATATTATTTTCAGTATAAAAAAACTCATTAAAGTTTCTCTCTCCGCTCGAGAGAGGAGAAAACAAAAATAAAAAATGAAAAACGATTAAAAGTCATTTTTCATTTCTCTCCAATTTTACACAAAACCAAAAAATCATTTTTATTTCTGTTTTTATCTTTATTGCGCCAAACGCCGTTTTAAAAACGTTTTCATTTTTTCTTTCTAAAAAAACGTGAAAAATAAAAATGGGATCAATTCTAAACACGGTCAAAATCTTTAATCAACACGACTCTAATTTTAACTATTCCAAAGTTGAAAGGATTGGAAGACGAAATCATTTCCAAATATATTAAGGAAAATGATCTTTCATTTCGTTTCGTTTTCATCAATTAGATTATATGTCTTTCATTCCTTCGTACTTTCTTTCACTCTCATCAAACACAACCATAAAGTTAAGGTCTAATCTTTGAATCCTCACCTCCAAGTTAAATAAAAAGGTTAGTTGAGACGGACCAAGGACGGATATTAAATGGCATAAATTGGATTCACTTCAGAATCAGACTCGGAGTGGCGCCACGAGTGGTTTCCGCCTCTCGAGATCTTGGACTTCTTCCTTACCTTGCGATTTTGTTTGGACTTAACCACATAATATGTCATGGTGCCGAGAACACTGGCCATTGTCACACCCCCAATGACAGTGATAAGAATAGCAGCCCATCTATTACGCCGGCCAACGACTATATAAGAGGACGAAATAAATGCCACTGAAGTGCACACAGAGGCCAACCACATCAACTTGTTTATCACCTCCACAACCCTCCTCTCTGCCTTTGTCTCACCGCGAACAAGCGTGATTTGTACTAAAACAACCGCCAACGACGTGAAGAGCGCGGTGGCATTGAAGAGGAAAAAAATCTTGAAAGATGCACAATTCACCATCACTGCCATCCCATCATCATCGTCACCTCCAGGCACCGTGAAGATAGCGGCAAAAGCCACCGTTGCAAAGAGCACGGCAACAACTGTGACCGAGTTTGTGGCATTGTTGATTCCCGCCCTGTGGAGGTTGCGGAGCTCCTTGGCAATCCCGGTCACGTTCTTATTTGTTTTTCGGGTTTGTTCGAGCTGGATGTGGACGTCTTTCTTGATCTGTTTCACTGTTTTCCTAAGCTCATCCCTTGGTTGGTTTAGTTCATTTGCTTTCACCGCACCGCAGCGAGCCAAGCAGTCCCTTATCTCAGCCGTTTCTTCAGAAAGGGAAAGTCCTTCAGCTATGTCAAGAGCTGTTTTGTGGTCTCTTGTTAGAGCATTTACATTTGTGTCTGGAAGAGATAACAACTCGTTCACTATCTGCAAAAACAAAAAAAGAAATTTTGTCACAAAAACTTGGTAATATTTGTTGCTAAAACAACAATTTCTTATAGTCCATGGAAAATCATTTATCACAAAAGTTATAGAAGTTATCAACAATGGTGGTACCAATCAAAACAAGAACATAATTGATTATACTTGGTCTAAATTCTAATTGAACTCAGGATAAACACCAAAACTTTATTTGGAGAAATCTAGGTCTCAGGTCATGCTAGTTCGGTTACTGATTTTATTAGGGGCAACTTGTGTCGGGAAAATCGGGTATTTCCCACTAAAAAACAACATCACCGTGAACAATACTTGTGAATAGTACCATATAGATGAACGGTTCTATACGAGCAGATAAACCCAACAGAATAACTATTGAATACTGAAAACAAATAAAAGAATACCATAATGGATAACAAAGTGCGGCCAAATATTGCCTACGTCTCCGGGAACTGTGGACCACTCTATTCACTAAAGAGAAGAAAAATTACAAATTGAGAAGAATTTACAAAAGCCCACCAATTGAAAATCTATAGAATTTTTCTACAAATTTACAAAGGAAAGAAGCTCTCAGTTTATTTTGGGATACAAAATAAATGAGGGGAGGCCTGTATTTATAGCCCTACCTCTCCCTCTTTTACGCGTGAATCAGCTGTAAACAGCTGGGTTCACCTCCTAAAATCAACACCGTTTTCAATGCTCTCTCTCTTCTTCTTCTCCCTCTCTGATTTTCTATTTTAGATTTTAACATAAGTGTGCAGCCATATTTTTTACAATGAGCCAGCCATATTGACTAACAACTTGACCACCTCTTAATGAAGAACAAGACATAAATAATTAGGAATTTAAGAATATATTCATATTCTAAGATTATTCTTTTTTTATTACTATTTATTAGGATTATTTAGGAAAAGTCCAAAATTTTCACTCCAAATTTCAAGTCCTCTCTCGAAATTTTGCTTAGCAAGTGTTACATTATTTCCATTTCAAACACAGTTCAATATACTTGATCCAAGTCTTAAAATTGAAATCTGAACAAAAAGTTTCTTTGGCATAAAAAGGTCTCAGACCATCTCAATCCAATAAAGGCAGCAGAAGAAAATTGGATTTTCTTAGTACATGTGCCTGTAATCTTCTTGTTATTTAACACTTTCGTTCTAACTTTTTTCTTTCTGGACATTTAGTCGTCGAATCTACAAATTAGCTGTGATTAGTCCAGTTCAAGGACTGAACTGTCAAGAAAAATATTTTGGTATGAAAAGGTCGAACCATGAAAAGTTCAGGGCTCATTTAGTTCGCTGATTCGAGTTAAGATGTGACTTAATGTGAGAACTTTTTACTGTAGTAAAAAAGTTAAATGTGATTGTTTATGAGAGCTTTTTACTGTAGCAAAACTCGAATTATAAACTCGAATCGGTAAAATGAACGGGACCTCAGAAGGTACAAGTGCAAGAAACCGAAGAAAAATTCCACCAATCCGACAATGAAAACCATGCATACCTCTGTCCTCCTTTTCCTGGTGGCAACATGTAAAGCCGTATTCCCAAACTTATCAGGAAGCATAACAATGGCAGCGTCCGCTTCAAGAAGCAGCTTCACCACTTCACAGCTGACCCCTTTTACGGCCATATGCAAGGCAGTTTGTCCTTTCTTGTCTGTCCTTCTGGCCAATTGTGGATCCTTCTCAAGCAACATTTTAACAATATACACATGCCCTTGCCTTGAGGCTAAATGTAATGCATTTTTGCCATTGGATCTAGATATCTCTATCATGCTTGAATCCTTTGACAGCAATTCTCCAACAACTGCTGCATGCCCTTTTGTGGCTGCTGATATAAGAGGAGTTGCGTTTGACTGGCCTATGGTTTTGCTTAGCTCCGGGTCATGCTCCAATAACACCTGCACAATTGCTGCAAAAATGGTCATTATTAAACCGAAGTTTATAAGGTCTTTCTGATATGAACACAAAATAGAACTTCAATAAACCGGAAATCATGTTAACAATATAAATTAGCTCAATCTAAACTGTTCTAGTATTATAATAGCATAAGTCAACAATTGATCAATGTCATTTTTTTTTTTTTTTTGAATTTAGGGTGGAGAATTTGAAGTCTACGTTTTAAGATGGAGTCAGGTATAAATTTATTTTTAAACTATGCCCACAATTTCATCAATTTCCCGTTTTTTTTTTCTTTCCATTTTATCTAATCTAACTCCCTTTCAAGATTGCAAACTTCAAAGCATTTTTTTCACTATCGGTTTCCAGACCTTTCTTAGTTCTCAAGCCTAAACAATAAAAAGAAGAAAGTGATCCAAAAGGTGGGGAAAAAAAAAAACAAAAATTGCAAAACCTTGTCTTTTATTTTTCATTATATCAGCAGTTGCAAAACCTTATTGTCCCACAAAACGGACTATAAACCACCATATAGCAACTTCTCCACAGAAATCAACTAAACAGGAAGGGGAAAAAAAAAAAAAAAAAGTTCAAAATCCCATTTTCCTCACAGTCAACTATGACCAATTGCTGTACACCAAAAAAAAAAACTTAAATTTATATTTAAACTAAGAAATAAAGGTTGTTCTTGGAGTTGTTTTCGTTTTTGTTTTTCATGTTTTTTGAGAAAGAAAAAATAAAAACATGAGAGAAACGGCGTTTGGCACAATTAAAGATAAAAAACAGAAATGAGAACGATTTTTTAGTTTAGTATAAAATGAGAGATAAATGATTTTTTGTTTCTGTTTTCTCTTCTCTCGAGTTGAGGGAGGCATTAATGGATTTTTTTATACTGAAAATAATATCTTAAAAAAACTACTAAATACATTTTTAAAAATAATTTCTGTCTAAAATTAAAAATATTTTCATTTCTATTTTCATACAAAAAATAAAATTATTTTAAAACGAGTTGTAAACGCACAAAGTATCACATTCACTCATAGAGGGCATTTTACCTTGGTGACCTTGACTTGCAGCAATATGCAAGGGATCGAAACCAGACCTATTCTTCATGGCAACACCCTCTTTGGTGGAATACTTCAAGAGCTCCTTCACCACCTCAAGATGCCCCTTCCCCGCCGCCGTGAAAAGCGCCGTCTCCCCCAACTCATTCACCTCATTCACCAGTGCCGCCCTTATCTCCGCCACCTCGGCATCAAACTCCGCCCCCACCATCTGCGCCTCGATTTCCTCCATGATCATCTTCACCGTCGCCACGTCCCCCCGCTGAGCCGCAAGGTGGAGCTCGGTGTCGTTGTGCCGCCCGGTCACCTGCTTCACGTACTTTTTCTTCCCTCCCGCCAGATCGAACCGCTTGCCGGAGTGTGATACCATCAGGGACTTGCCAGAGTTCGACACGAGCAGAGCCTTGCCGGAGTTCGAGAGGATGAGAGTCGGTGTACTCGGAGAAGATGGTGGCGGCCATGCCGATTCGGAGAGAGCGCTAGCCCTGGTTCGCACGCACAGGCCCTTCTCCAGATCCCTCTCACCTTAAACAGGCGACAAAAAATAAAACAAAAGTTACAAATTTTACCTATGTTTGGGCTCCGAGAAAACATGGGAATTGAAAATTAGAAAGAAATTTGAGAAATTTATAATTTTATCACTCGCATTTGAAAAAAAAAAAAAAAAAAAAAAAAAAATAATATATATATATATATATATATTTTCTTCCCATTTTCTCGCAAACCAAGCGGAAAACCAAGACTGAGGGGATATTTTAGAAGGAAAATGTAAGATTATCTAATCTGGTTCCTGCATTAATTAATCAAATAAGAGCTAAGAAATTTCACCTCTCTGTTTGGACTCCGAGAAAACAGGGGAATAGAAAATGGGAAAGAAAGTTGAGAAATTTATGAGCAATGCCTCACATGTTGCAGGAAAAAGAGAGAATATTCCATAAATGTCATAAAAAAGAGAGAAAAATCTCTTCTTTTTGCAGCGATGAATAACATCAGTAATCCAGCAATTAGACATCCACGTCAAAATTCAATTTTTTCCCTCAATTTTCTCAGAAACCAAACGGAAACAAAAAGAAAAAAAAATTACCTGATTCAATTCCTAAAGCCATCGCGTGATGCAAAATCAAGAAGAAGAGGAGGATCCTATCTATTCATTGTTGAAAATGATGTTGGGGATTGGAATGCGAGCTGAATCCAGATTCAAGAGCTGGAAAAAGAAAAGAAAGTAAAATGAGAAATGCAAAATGAAGAAATTGGTGGGGATTTTTTTATTTCATATTTTTTATTATCCGAAGTTTGTTAACGCCGCCGCGCCAAACATTTCTTTCCATCATTTTTAATTTATATATATTTTTTATAAAAAAAAATACTGTAATAAATTATAAATTATGATAAAAATTAAGTATAAATCTCTTAATTAAATAACCTCTTAGACATGATTGTTCCACGCGTTAGATTATCAGACATTTCAAAAAAAAAATCAAGAATGAACTCTTATTTTTTTCTTCATTTAAAAAAATCACTCTTCTTTTTTTTCCTCATCCCTAAAAAGTTGATTTTTTTATATTATTTATAGCAACACTATCAACCTATTGATGCTCGGTGCGTTTAGAATTGATTTTAAAATAATTTTATTTTTTGTATAAAAATAAAAATAAAAATATTTTTAATTTTATATAGAAATTATTTTTAAAAATGTATTTGATAATTTTATTAAGATATTATTTTCAGTATAAAAAAATTAAAATTCTGTTTAATTATACATTTTTAAAAACATCTAATAGTATTTTAAAAAATATATTAAATAATTTAACAGTTTATTACTTATCAGTTATATAAATATCTAATAGTATTTTAACAGTTTTTTTGTACTTTTTGAATTCCAAAAAATGGAAAGAATAATATGAAAACGATTAAAAGTCGTTTTCATTTTCTACCATATTTTACGCAAAAAAACCAAGACTATTTTTGTTTCCATTTTTTGTGGTCGGCGGCTCTAAACACTATTTTTCTTTCATTTTCATTTTTTCTTGATTAACGTAAAAAATAGAAACAAAATGCATTCCAAACACCCACATTATTTTTGTTTTTGAGGGAAAGCATTTTATTTTTACATTATTAATAGTTACGTGTTTTTTATTTGATAATATCATTATTGTACCTTAAATTTAAAAAAAAATGTTATTCGAGCACTATAAGCTCATTTTCCCACGTTTGCTGACGCCTCACATTCCTATATATCATTCGTATCATTGATATCAGAAAATTGGGCCCACACGCTCCTGACGCTTCGCTTCTTCATCGTGTTCCTCTTCATAACCCCGCAACCGTCAGAAAATTTGTAGATTCTCGTATTTAAGTTTTTAATTTGGGTTGAGATATAAATATTTTTTTAGAGTTTTTAATTGTAACAGAAAAAGTTATATGTGACATTTTTTGAGAGCTTTTAACTGTAGAAATTTAAAATTGAAAACTTAAATATGTGAAATAAACGAGATTTTAAAACTCAAAACTCAGATCGGTAAAATGAACGAGATCTAAATGAAATAGTATTACAGAAGTAATGAATTAAACCTTACGCTCCTTTCTCGATTCCTGAGTTTTCAATACCTTCAGGACTTCCTGCAGAGCAAAAAATTAAAATTTACAGAAGGTGCTTCAATTGTTTAATCATGCATAGCTCATTCAGAAAAAGCAAGCTCAGGTTTATGATTTTTCAATAATATATCAGCATGAGATTGTGCAGTCAAAGAGTTCTTTCATTTACTTATTTATTCATATTGCATATGAAAGAAACAAAGACAATTTTATCGAGAAAGAAAAAAAAAATCTTCCAAAAACGTTTAGAAATCACTTGCGAAAACCTTTTTTTCTTAATGCGAGAGTGGAATGAAAAAAAAACAAATGATACCCCGTTCCATCAGAAACCTACCTAACTTGGTTTCCTCCGATTTGCATCAGAAAATTCAGCAGTGTAATCTTCAACCCTGGCCACCCACTGAAGATATTCAAGATCTGCACTAAGTTAAAAAAAAAAAAAAAAAAAAGAAAAAACTTCTCTTCAAAATCTTCAATGAGTTTAGCTAAATCATTTAAACTGTCATTGTGGCACTAAAACTGTAACGCCCGACTAATAAAACCATACTTCTAACGTATATTTAAATTAAATGGCGTTATTTGTTATTAAACCGGTTCACTGATTGAACAAAATAACGAAAATAATATTTGGATATACTATTTTCCAAAAGTTTATAATTTATTCACTACTATAGAGTTTTACTCTTGTAGAAAATATAGGCTTATGCAGTCAAAATATCAAAAAGTGTTCCCATCAATATATGCATATAAATATTACCACATACTACAATATATGCATGAAAAACACGTGTAAATAATATTATTGTTCTTGTGATACAGTTGAAAATACTTCGTACCTTGTATCCAAACCAATAGCGACAAGCCCCGTCATCAAGCTAGTTTAAACTATCATAACAATGATATAATCACTTGGCATCAGTTATTATTCACATAAGTACAAGAAAAATAGAAAATAGACGTGATTATGTACTTAAAAGATATCATAAATCTACTTTTATGTTCTATTACTTTTATATAAAAGAAGTTTCTTACAATTCCAGTAATACAAGTTCATGCTTAGGAAACTGTACATGTAAATATATATTTTATTGCCTTTATAAAACTTGTTAATCAAAATTGCTTCCTCCTACTCATATATGTAAACAGTAAATACAAAAATAATAAGCAAACTTATACTTGAGAATATATATATATACTTGAGAATAATAAACAGTAAATACAAGAATATGTACTTGAGAATAATAAGCAAACAGTTGAAAATTCTACGTACCTTGTATCCAAACCAATAGCGACAAGTAGAAGGCGTCAATGTCCCTAGCTAAACTAACATGACAATGATATAATCACTTGGCATCAGTTATTATTCACATAAGTACAAGAAAAATAGATTATAGACATGATTATGTACTGAAAAGATATCATAAATCTACTTTCATGCTCTTTTACTTTTATATAAAAGAAGTTTCTTACAATTCCAGTAATACAAGTTCATGCTTAGGAAACTGTACGTGTAAATATGTATTATATTGTTCTTGTGTAGAAGTTGCTTCCTTTATATAAACTTATTAAGCAAAACTGCTTCCTCCTACTTATATATGTAAACAGTAAATACAGAAATAATAAGCAAACTTATACTTAAAGAAAAAAAAAAAATATATATATATATATAAATATAATCCAAGAAAAACTCACCACTAAGGATCCCAATACATATATTAATATAAGCAAGCTATTTAATACTCCTCAATGACTCCAAGAAATGAAGAGTCTCGAACCAAATAGAAAGTTTAATGTCGGTTTCTTTATTTTTTTTTAATTTAACAAATTTAGAATTTAGAATCAGTGGATTTTTAAAAAGAGTCTTTCCAACTTTTCCAAAAGTAATAATGTAAGTTTTTCTTTTTTTTTTTTTTCAAAAAACAAAAAAAACCCCCTACTTGCCGTATTTGCGAGGGTTCCGAAGGGAATCAGTGGAGCCCCTCAAAATCCACGGCCTTTTTTGCCCTATTTGCATGGAACCTTGGACTAACGATGGCGATCATCAAATCTGGTTCCAATTTCTCTTGCTTTTGTTTGTTTTTTCTTTTGCTTTCAGTACAATTTTGACCGTTTGAAGTACAACTCTTACATTATACTTGTTATTGTTTGTTTGGGTACATATATGGGATGTCTTGCATACAGAAGTGGCTTAAAAAGTGTCAGAATCAAAGGAAGGTATGTTATTTTATTTTATTTTCTTTCCCCCATTTTTTTTTTCAATTCATTCTTCTGGGGAAATTATAATTGTAAATTTGTATTTGTACTTTTATTCTTTCTTTGTTTTTGTTTTCCAGTGTCCTTCAATGCAACAGAAGATGCACACCGGAAGACGTCAGAAAGCTTTATGCGGCGCGGGTTTGTTGCTATTGATGAAGAAGCACATAGGTTATTTTTAATATTGCGTAAAAGCTTATGCTTTTAGATCCCAAAAATGAATAATGAAATATAAAAAAGGTGAGAAAATTTAATTGGAATGTTGGGTAATTCGGTCACTTGAGAATAAATGTGATTGTCTTGAGAAGAAGGTATGGATCCATTCTACAAGAGACAGTTGAGATTTTTCTCAAAATTTGTTTTCTATTCCTTACAATTCAATCACTGTAGAATTTCTAAAGTAGATCTTTCTTTTCAAATTGAATGATTCTTTGAAGTTGGTAATTGAAACATATTTCTAATTTCGTGTGTAGAGAGCTGGTTGGAGTAAAAAGGAAGCTAAGCGGAGAAAAATAGAAGCTGAGTTGCAATTGGAAGTTGAACAGCTTAGAAAGGTACATAACAGCACTTGTTTTGTGCATTTAGCTTGCTTTTTCGTTTAGCTATAGCTTTGCCCAAAACTGCCCAATTTCCGCTTCATGTATGCTTACTCAATGCTATAGATGGGCCTTTGTGGATTTCTTTTTATATTTGCTTACCAAACACAAATTGGACCTAAAATTCTTGAAGCGCTTTTGGGGTGCCAAAAGTCAATACCAAACTGGGCGTATGCATGGTCACGAACTGTGTTATCTTTAGACAAATTCCATGGAAATGGTGTTTAGTGATGAAAGAGAAGTAATACTGAGAATCAGGAAGGGAGAAGAATTCTCCGGAGCTCTTCAAGGTCATTGATTACTATCACATCGAGTAATTAAGGCCTCGTTCATTTCACCGAATCGAGTTTTTAATTCTAATTTTGCTACAGTTAAAAGCTTTTATAAAAAGTCACATCTAACTTTTTTGCTACGGTTAAAAGTTTTCACATAAAATCACATATCAGTTCGAATTGAAAACTCAAATCGGCGAACTGAACGATGCCTAATTTTTCCACAGCAAGTGACTATCTCGATCCAGCTTAATTATGAGAGAGCGGCCAAGGCTTTTCAGTTGTTGTTGATTGAAGTGAGTGGTAGGAAGTAACGCTCTGTTTCCAAGCAAAATGTCAGCTTCCAAAGGCCAGCCTTATAAGAGAAGCACTCGCGCAAAACCCTCTAGTGGTTCCAAATAGGATATGCATTGCAGCTAGCTAATATTTGCTAGAATGGCTACAATACTGTACACTGCACCGCATAATAAGATGCTGGCGTAAGTAGTAACTCCTACCGTTGCTAAAGCTTTCTTTTTAAGGCTTTTTACTCCTGATTCGAGCGGTAAAAATCTTAAAACAATACATTCAAAATGTGATTTCACTAATTTTTTTCTTAAAACAATTAATTTGCAAGCCCGCACCAACATGCCATCTCAAACCTTTCACCAGAAGAATGATTTTGCCCACTTAAGAGTACGTCATACCAAGACGAGTTGTATCTAACTTGAGTTTTCTATATTGAAGAACAAGGGAAATAACAAGATTTAAAAGCCTTGGCTAGTAAAGAATTAGAGGGTGTTTGATACGTAGTAATCTTAGGGCCCGTTTAGTTCGTTGATTCGAGTTTTTAATTCGAGTTGAGGCATGACTTTATGTGAGAGCTTTTTACTATAGCAAAAAAATTAGATGTGACTGTTTCTGAGAGCTTTTCACTGTAGCAAAACTCAAATTCTAAACTCGAATCGGTGAAATGAACGAGGCCAAGGATGAGAATAGAAATATACAATATTACCATGTTTGGTACAAAAATTATAATTTTTAGACTCCCAGGAAAGTGGTTACCATGAGATTCACTTTTTCTCATTTTAAGGTAATTTGAATACCACCCAACATGGTGTTATTCAAATTCTCAGGAATCTCAAAATCATGGGAATCTTACCCACACACCCAATGCATCTTACCATCACTAAGCATCTCCTCCTCCCTGTCGTAGCTACCGAGCACCTCTATCACAGCCACTATCCAAGCTCGTCGCCGGAGTTCCCCCATCACCACCATAGATGCCGAACAACCCCCCATCAAACTCATCGCCGGAGCTTTCCCATCCCTACCATGGCTGCCGAACCCCCCCTTCCCCTACCAAACTCATTGCCAGAGCTCACCCACACTACAAGAAAAAGGGGTTTTTGCGATGACTTTTCGTCGTCGCAAAAACCCACATGTCGTCGCAAATAAGTGTTTTTGCGACGACATGTCGCCGTAGTTATGTCGTCGCAAAAAAATAGTCGCAAATACTTTTTTTGCGAGTCGTCGCAAACGCCGTAAATATATTTGCGACGACATTTTTCTTTTGCGACGACTCTCGTCGCTAATACCCTGTGTTTAATTTGTCGTGATATAACATTTTTTGCGACGACAATTTCAAAATGTCGTCGCAAATAATTACCCTTTTTTGCGACGACAAGTATAAAAAAGTCGTCACAAAAACTGAAATAAATTTTTTTTTTGATTTTTTTAAAAAAATGGCAATTAATTAATTTTTAATAATTTTAATTAAACATTATTATGTTACATACTGAATATAATTTATTAAGATACATTAAAAGTAAAATATAAATTAATATTAAAAACAGTAAATCTAAATAAATTTATAAAATATATTATAAATACTACATGAAGTGCATATATAATGTTCAACAAAATATAAAAGTCTAAATAAAGTGAAAAATCAAACAGAACATATAACGGAACTATTCGTCTAGGTTTGCAGCATTGCCAACAGCTGAGTCATCATCAGGATTGTCATCATCTAAAGGAGGCAGACGAGCGTCCAGGTTAATTGGTTCTGGACGAGCAATCGTAGGTAATTGGATGTTGGGCTGCAATTTAGACACCAACTCTAACATCTTCATCTGATTGTCATAAATCTTCATTTGTTCCCGGTACGATTTCTTTAAATAACGATCCATACGCGGGTCAGGTTGAGTCGATGATGTTGCGTCTGAGAATGAACCACCAGATGAAGGAGAAGTCCCGGAGTAATGCTTTTGGGAGAGCATCGGACCCACTCCTTTCTTATGTCCTCTACGCATGCCAAGAACTTGCTCCAAAACCCCATGCTCGTCAAGGGGGGATCTAGTCGCGCTTGAAATAGTCTGTGTTCTCTGCATTTGTCTCTCCTCCTCCAGAGTGTTCTACATAATAAGACATTATAATTATTTTTACGTGTTATAAAACCACTATTTCAGTATAAAAAAATTTAATAAGAAAAGTAAAAATACTTACGAAAGTCTGTTCCGCATGGGTATTAACCCAAGAGTCCCCGCGATGATGCATGTCCGTCCAATTGTCTATAGCAGACATCGGCTCTTGGGTCTCCGTACTGGCCTGTGAAATAAATTACATTTATTAAAATTCTTAAATTCTAACTAAATTTCGGCAGCATAACGACTTATTTTTCATATAATCCAAAAATCAAAACCTGTAAAAAAACAACTTTAAAAGATTTTGGCACACCATAACTGCAAGATGTGCCACCCAGAACAAGAATCACAAACATATAAATACGTTAATGATCAAAAAATAAGTACTAACCTTCTTATTGCGATGCTGAGAGTACGATAACCGACCATGTAGGCTTGGATACTTTTGGTTACTACGATTACTTCTATTTGTCTCTGATATTTTCTATTTATGATTAACTATAATAAGTAATAGTTACTTGAAATTATGTATAAAAAATCATGAAGTTCTAACAAATCTATAATTACTTGAAATTTGTCGCCGGAGAACCTATCGCAACAACGATCCCAATGAACTTGATTTCTCATGTTACTCGGGAGACTTTCTCTACCGTAGCGTTTGTAGTGGCGGTGCAAGGAACTTTTCCAGTCCTTGTAACACTTTGCTGCCTCCTTATCAACAACGGACCTCAGAATGCCGTTCTTGTAGTTATAATTCATGTTAAACCAATCCTTGCAAAACAGTTTCACATCGTTAAAACGCATTGTTAACTATAGTATAAACTATACAAAATGTACCATAAAAAAAATACCAGCATCCGGTCCTGAATTGTCCTCTTGTCCACATCGCTAATGTCCTTCCAAGCATCGTGGAAGGGCTCGCATATGTCCCTAGTATGAATACCAACCGCACTATCAAACCAAGCACCATATTTACCAAGCGCCTTCCAAGTACCTCCCGCCTCATCAAATTCCACTGTGATTCCCGTCTTGAAGGACCTTTTGGGCGATTTCATAACCTTTTGTCCCACCTTTACGTTGTCGAGGTTCAGGTGCTGTAAGCATATGAAAGCAATTAGTGATCAACATGTACTTCTACATTTATTTACTATATGATAGAACGAGAAAAAAAGTCAGAATAACATACCATACTCACAGTAGGCGGGGACTCTGTGAGGACCGGGAGGAGGCTGCGCTCCCCCTGAAGAGCCAGCGCAAGTCGCTAACGTTCCAGCCATCAATGTCTGTGAACAAATTTATATTAATAACAATATTTATAAATTCAAAAAAGATCATAATATTTAAACGAAATCTGAGAAAAATGACAAATATTACTATTCTATAGTTCTACTCATCGTCGCTGCTATATTGTTGATTGTCGCCATCATCATTTATGTCATCATCGTCTTCAGATTCGATGACTTCCTCTTCAATGTACTCCTCTAAAGTTTCATCGTCTTCATCATTAATAAAATCATCAACTACGGGAGACTTATCTTTCATAATTGCATCAACATCGGAAGTGACAACATTAGACGATCCATCATCTCGATTCAATACAAATGAGTCAATCTCTGGTAGTTCCACTACTAACTCAATATTTGTAGACTCTGTATCCTGGACTATCATCACGTCATCAATGTCAGTTTCTGGGATGTCCCAAATATGGCGATGTCTAAAGTGTTCTACAACTTTCCAGTTTGGACCGTTAAATAAATCGTCACTCACTACCTCTGTTGAGGCCCCTGTCCGTCGCCCACATGCCGTCATTGCTCCTCCGATAATGTTGTTGTTGGCCCTCTTCATCCCAGCCCCTCCCAAATCAGTGGACAATAACTCACTTCCCCTCCCTCTGCACACCCATCGCCAGCGTATTCTCCACCTATTCCAAGAACAAAAGTCGCCCAGGTCTGATTTGAGCAAGAAGAAATAGGCGAGGCGAGGCAATGCCTAATTTGAGCAAGAGAGAGAGAGAGAGAGTTTTTCAATTTGTTATATTTTTTTTAAATCTAATGTGTCAAAATTATAATCACTTAATTAAATAAATAGTTCAAAATTATTTAAAATGTTTAATTTTATAAGAAAAATTACATTACATTACTGTGCACAACCAAACACCGTAAAATAACATTCTTAAAAATCTGACAAAAGATTCCTACACATAACTAAATATGATAATGTAGGTTTTTAGGAAATCATATTACCCACCATCACTTTCTCAAGTATTTAATTTCTATTCCCCTTAGGGCTATTAGAATCCTCCGTGCTTGCTTTGCTCAAATGGCATGATTAAGAACCATAAAAGATTGAAAACCAGGTCCACAATTATATTTGTCTTTACAAAGGGTCTTTCCAACTTTTCCAAAGGTAATTATGTAATATTAAAAATATATATGAAAAAATAATTTGTCATTATACATTTAATAAGATAAAAAAAAAATAAGGGTGTATTTTATGAGTAAACATAAAACACAAGATATAACAGACAAAGGGAGAATGACGTAAACATAATTTTTCTGCAGATAACTGGCCAAAAATTTGGGCTAAGTTAGTAAACAGCATTTAAACTATGTTATTATTTGCAATTTCCCAAAGTTCAATAACCCAAAACGCTACATTTTATTTCCAAAAAAAGAAAAAATAGCTACAGTTTTGAATTTCCATAAAATAAAGGGAAAACGTCGTATGACCAGGGTTTTTTTATTTTTTATTTTTTATTTTTTAGATTTTACTAGACGGCTTGTCGTTTTTGTACTTTCCTATGTTCATTTACTATGAAAACGGCTTGTCGCTTTTGGACTTTAGCTATATTCATACCTCATTTAACTGTGAAAACGGCTTGTCGTTTCACTTTCTCCCCAAATAAAATAAAATAAAATGAATGGAATATAAAAGAAAAGGGCTTTCCATTTCGGCGGGAGAGAAAAGGAGACAGAGAAAGAGAGAGGGTGGAGAGAGAGAGAGAGAGAGAGATAGAGAGAGGAGAGAGGAGAGAGGAGAGAGGAGAGAGGAGTTCAAAATCAAGCTCCAATGGCTGACCATTCCCCTTCCGGCACCGAACTTCCCCAAAACCAGAACGAAGAACTCAACGAGGCAGCGCCGATTTCTCTTGACAACGAAGTCGAAAACGAGGACGATGAAGAAGAAGAAGACGAAGACGACGAAGACGAGGAGTATATGAGTGAGGACGACTTGATTGACGAACTGGATTCAGAGGAAGACGCAGAAGAAGATGAAGAAGATGAAGAAGAAGAAGAAGGCGAAGGTGAAGGTGAAGCTTGCTTCTTGGGAGACGAGGGTTCCGAAGGGAATCAGTGGAGCGCCTCTGAAATCGACGGCCTTTTTTGCCCTATTTGCATGGAACCTTGGACTAACGATGGCGATCATCATATCTGGTTCCAATTTTTCTTCCATTGTTTGTTCTTTCGTTTGTTTTCAGTATAATTTTGACCCTTTAATGTACAACCCTTACATTTTTTTTTTTCATTTTTTTGGGTATTATAGTTGTCTTTCATGTGGGCACATATTTGGGATATCTTGCATACAGAAGTGGCTTAAAAAGTGTCAAAATCAAGGGAAGGTATTACTTTTTCTTTTTTCTTTTTCAATTCATTCTTGTGGGAGATTGTAAAACTGTACTTTTCTTATTTATTTGTTTTCTTTTCCAGTGTCCTCAATGCAACAGAAGATGCAAACTGAAAGACGTCAGAAAGCTTTTTGCGGCGCGGGTTGTTGCCATTGATGAAGAAGCACAAAAGGTTACTTTTAGTATCATGAAGCTTTATACTTTTAAAACCCAAAAATAATATAAATAAATAAATTGGGATGATGGGTCTGCTTGTTTGCAGAGAATTCAATCACTTGAGAATAAATGTGCTTCTCTTGAGAACGAGGTATGGATCTATTCTACAAGAAACAGGTCGAATTTTTCTCAAAAATTTGTTTCTAATTTCTTGCAATTTGATCACTGTAGAATTTCTAAAGTCGCTCATTCTTTTTTAATTGTATGATTCTTTGAAGTTCGTAAAAAAAAAATTCAGACATATTTTCTAATGCAGAGAGCTTGTTGGAGTAAAAAAGAAGCTGAGTGGAGAAAATTGGAGGCCAAGTTCCAATTGGAAGTTCAACAGCTTAAAGAGGTCTATAGCAGCACTTGGCTTGCTTCTCATTTTATCTGTAGCTTTGCCCAAAATTGTTCGAGAATTGCTTTTGATATTTTTTACCAAACACAAACGGGACCTAAAATTCTAGGAGTGATTTTGGGATGCCAAAAAATCAAATACCAAACTCGGCCTATGCGTAGTCATGAACTGTGTTGTCCTTAGACAAATTCTGTGGAAGTGATGTTTTGTGATGAAAGAGAAGTTATACAGAGAATCAGGGAAGGAGAAGAATACTCACAACTCTTCAAAGTCATTGACTATTATCGTATTAAGTAATTAACTTTTCCATGGTAAGTAATTATCTCAATCCGGCTTAATTATGAGAGGCTGGCCAAGACTTGCTAGTTGTTGTTGAATGAGCTTAGTTGGTTGAGCATTAGGGATTTGTTGATAACTAGATTTGAGGTATAGGAATTTGGTTTGTTTGTGTTGGGATTTGTGGATTGTTTAGTCCAGAAGCGGAAGCGAGGGAATTCAAGTGAGTGGTAGGATGCATTTTAGGAAAGACACTCTGATACGAAAGACTAATTCTTTGAAAATGGTTTTTAGTACTGACGCAAAGATTAGAGACACATAATCAGGGAAAGAGA